ATTAAACAGTTTACTTACATTGTTTTTCTTTTTGTCAAAAAAATTTCTGTTTGTAGCAAATTTTAGAGATAATAAGATTATCTTATTTTTCTTTCAATTTAAGCATATTTTACCGTTATTGAACAAGTTTGACAATTCATAAAACTGGTGATAAGAAGGACGCCATTTAATCAATCTGATGTGTATTTCATGTTGATGTAAAGCAAATAATTGTATACAGTAATTTGAAGATCTGTGTTCACTGCACAAGGTTTCGTGTTCATTTAACTATTTGAAATCACAACTATACTCTAACAGCTCTTGATATCAGTCTGAACCAAGACACTTTATATATCCTGTAAAATTTGAAGTTAGCCTTACTTTGTTTAACTTACCATCATTCCCGTGATTCTTTACCGAGTTCCCAAATCAAAATTTGAGGCGAATCGGTAAAATGGGTTCCTGAGTTATGATCGGACATCCAAACAAACAGACAAACAAAGATAACTACTTTATATTTAAAGATACCTATAATTGGGAGCCTATACACCTTGACTTGGTTAAATTTTGTGCAGACAGTGATTTAATTCCATATTATTATGGTAACTACTGTATGTACTGGATTTTACCCCTCTAGGAGAAGGATGAATCTGAGAGCTTCCTGACAGAGTTGATGTTGAAGCAGTTGGAGGAGGTAGAGGACGCAGAGTTATTGGTCTCAAGGGTTCTCTTCAGTCCTAGAACTAGACCTCCTTGGCAGGATAGAAGGTTAGATGATAGAAGGTTAGAGGATAAAGTTTAGAGTATACAAGGTTAGAGGATACAAGGTTAGAGAATACAAGGTTAGAGGATAGAAGGTTAGAGGATACAAGTTTAGAGTATACAAGGTTAGAGGATACAAGGTTAGAGAATACAAGGTTAGAGGACAGAAGGTTAGAGGATAGAGTATTAGAGGAAGCAAGGTTAGAGGCTACAAGGTTAGAGGATACAAGGTTAGAGGATGCAAGGTTTGAGGATACAAGGTGAGAGAATTCAAGGTTAGAGGATAGAAGGTTAGAGGATACAAGGTTAGAGGATACAAGGGTAGAGGATGCAAGGTTAGAGGATATAAGGTTAGAGAATACAAGGTTAGAGTATGCAAGGTTAGAGGATACAAGGTTAGAGAATACAAGGTTAGACGATAGAAGGTTAGAGGATACAAGGTTTGAGGATACAAGGTTAGAGGATACAAGGTTTGAGGATACAAGGTTAGAGGATACAAGGTCAAAGGATACGAGGTTAGAGGATACAAGGTTAGAGGATACAAGGTTAGAGGATACAAGATTTGAGGATACAAGGTTAGAGGATACAATGTTAGAGGATACAAGGGTAGAGGATGCAAGGTTAGAGGATACAAGATTAGAGAATACAAGGTTAGAGGATAGAAGGTTAGAGGATACAAGGTTAGAGTATACAAGGTTAGAGTATGCAAGGTTAGAGGATACAAGGTTAGAGAATACAAGGTTAGACGATAGAAGGTTAGAGGATACAAGGTTAGAGGATACAAGGTTAGAGGATACAAGGTTAGAGGATACAAGGTTTGAAGATACAAGGTTAGAGGGTACAAAGTCAAAGGATACGAGGTTAGAGGATACAGGTTAGAGGATACAAGGTTTCAGGATGGATACAAGGTTAGAGGATACAAGTTTTGAGGATACAAGGTTAGGGATACAAGGTTTGAGGATACAAGGTTAGAGGGTACAAGGACAAAGGATACGAGGTTAGAGGATACAGGTTAGAGGATACAAGGTTTGAGGATGGATGCAAGGTTAGAGGATACAAGGTTCGAGGATACAAGGTTAGAGGATACAAGGTTAGAGGATACAAGGTTAGAGGATACAAGGTTAGATGATACAAGGTTAGAGGATAAAAGGTTAGATGAGACAAGGTTAGAGGATACAAGGTTAGAAGATACAAGGTTAGAGGATTGTGTATATGTAACCTAGATTGTATCCTATAAGATAATAATCTAATATTATGTAGGTGTATCCTAGATTGTATCCTGGAAGATAATAAACTAATATTATGTAGGTGTATCCTAGATTGTATCCCGGAAGATAATAAACTAATATTATGTAGCCTGTAGGTGTATCCTAGATTGTATCCTGTAAGATAATAAAATAATATTATGTAGGTGTATCCTAGATTGTATCCTGGAAGATAATAAACCAATATTCTGTAGGTGTATCCTAGATTGTATCCCGGAAGATAATAAACTAATATTATGTAGGTGTACCCTGGATTGTATTCCGGAAGATAATAAACTAATATTATGTAGGTGTATCCTAGATTGTATCCCAGAAGATAATAAACTAATATTATGTAGGTGTATCCTAAATTGTATCCCGGAAGATAATAAACTAATATTATGTAGGTGTATCCTAGATTGTATCCCGGAAGATTATCAGGAATTAACAGATTCATCAGAAGCATCAATTCAAAACTCAACATAAAAAATATTTTCTTGATTCGAAATACTTTTAAATCTAGCGGTTACGCAACATTTTTTTACTTATCTGATTTTGTATTTTATTCTTGTTGAAGAATTAATTTATAAAATCAAACGTCACTTTCAATTTTTCATTCAGTTTTACTCTAAATCTAATCATAACAATTCTACTTTTAAAACTCTTTATTTGAAACTGTAAATATCTTAATTATTGTACCGGCACGGCGTCTAGTGACCCATGAAATTGTACAGTACCGAATTAAACTTACACTGTCTGTTAGATTTAATTTTAATTAATCTATAAATAATTTGCTGTAAGTTAAGGTCAAATTATTGATCAAAATGGGTAAATTTAAATTAAATAAAAATCAGCTAAAAATGATTATTAATGGCCAGAGGAATATAATATCAGTTTCGTAAAATAATGTAATCTTTTTTTAATTAGAATTTAGAAGGAGTCAATCTAAATAAAGCTGTAAATATTGAATGTTATATAAATAAAATTTTGTGCAACTAATGTTTGTATTTTATATCATTGATCTGAATAAAAATAACATCTATGCGCTAGATGAGGGGAGGGAGGTCAGCCACAATAATTTCTCGTCTGAGCCACAATAATTTCTCGTCTGAGCCACCTCGTCCTTCGATTATTATGTGTTTCAAAAATCTAATTCTTAAAGGAAGAGGATAGAATTCCTCACTTATTTGGGTATTTTGAGGGTAAATTAAACAGCCTATTCGCTGTTGATTGGTATTAGTCTTACTTTTCAAAGACACTGTGACCGGAGAAAAGCCGATTTTTCGTTTAGAATTCGAGCGGAATGGTATTGTACCTCTCAATAGACACTATTTGAAAAGCGTGTAAAAAAGTGAACATTTTCAAGTACATTGAACTTGAAAACTTTAATTCAATTGAAGCAATTTTTTTCAATTCATAAAAATTCATTATTTCTTTTATGACCTAACGTGGCCCGATTCTTAAAAAAAAAGTTTTAACTTAGATGATTAGACACTGAAAAAAATAATATTGGAAGGACGAGGATTTTGAGAAAATGAGGAGAATGTGGCTCGGACTAGAAATAATTGTGGCTTGCCTTCCTCTTTCCTTAGATAGAAGAACTGAAAAACAAAAATAACAAAATTAAATTTAAAAGAAACTACAAGAACAGAAAATAGAAACAGATTTGAAAGTAAAGAGAAAAAAATCGAAATTATAGATCGAAGAAGAACAAACATGGATTGAAGGAGAGGAGAACTAGGATGGATTGAAGGATAGGAGAACTAGGATGGATTGAAAGAGAGGAGAACTAGGATGGATTGAAGGAGAAAAAAACTAGAATGGATTGAAGGAGATGAGATTGAAAGAGAGGGGAACAAGGATTTGAGGAGAGGAGAACAAGGATGGATTGAAGGAGAGGAGAACAAGGATGGATTGAAGGAGAGGAGAACAAAAATGGATTGAAGGAGAGGAGAACAAGAATGGATTGAAGGACAGGAGAACAAGGATGGATTAAAGGAGAGGAGAACAAGGATGGATATGAAGGAAAGGAGAACAAGGATTGATTGAAGGAGAGGAGAACAAGGATGGATATGAAGGAAAGGAGAACAAGGATGGATTGAAGGAGAGGAGAACAAGGATGGATATGAAGGAGAGGAGAACAAGGTTGGATTGAAGGAGAGGAGAACAAGGATGGATATGAAGGAAAGGAGAACAAGGATTGATTGAAGGAGAGGAGAACAAGGATGGATTGAAGGAGATGAGAACAAGGATGGATTGAAGGAGAGGAGAACAAAGATGGATTGAAGGAGAGGAGAACAAGGATGGATATGAAGGAAAGGAAAACAAGGATGGATTGAAGGAGAGGAGAACAAGGATGGATTTAAGGAGAGGAGAACAAGGATTGATTGAAGGAGAGGAGAACAAGGATGGATTGAAGGAGAGGAGAACAAGGATTGATTTAAGGAGAAGCGAACAAGGATAGATTGAAGGAGAGGAGAACAAGGATGGATTGAAGGAAAGGAGAACAAGGATGGATTGAAGGAAAGGAGAACAAGGATGGATATGAAGGAAAGGAAAACAAGGATGGATTGAAGGAGAGGAGAACAAGAATTGACAAGAATTTTAGCTGGAATCAAAGGTTAAACACAACACGTATATTAGACTTGTAATGTAATACTCTATTTCATGTATATCTTTGTAACCCGTAAATATACGTTATTTAGTTCTTTGACCCTAGTTGCGGTTAACTTTTTTACCTGTACCTTTTAATATCTAAATATAGACAGTTCAACTCTTGTTATTTACGGAACGTAAATACCTGGATAGGTAGAGAGGATAGAGTTTGTGATAGATCAAAACAGTGTATTTAGCTGATAAAGAGTAAAGAGAACTTTAGACATTTTCTACAGACTAAAAATCTCACAAGAAAGGGGGGGGGGTATACCATTGAACAGTTTTTATTGTGACTTATTAAAAAAATTATGGTAGCCTTTGTTTTATTTTCTTGATTTAGAAAGTGTGATTAAGGAAATGTATTAGATATATCCGTGTATTCGATATGGGAATTGTTTATTTTCATTTAAGTTGATCAATTTAAACTTTCTGGTTTCTCTGCAAATTTGACCTACACGTTTCCTACTTCAGAAATAATGGAGAAATTAAAATAATCAAACCATTTTTATATCTAGAAAAACGAGGTTTTCTTCTCCATAATTGATGAAATATAGGTTTCAAGGGAGAGTTGAGAATTGTGCATATGACACAACTTACATGGAGGGTCTCTTAAAATGATCTTTTTAAAATCTTTATTTAAAACTAAAATAAAATAATTATTTTACCTTCGATAAGATAGATAAAACTACAGTGATAACCAGACAACTACTAAATCAGAGGTAATCACTTATTAAGTAAATGTTTACGCTGCACGATTGCTGGATCTCATGTTTTTGGACTACATCATTGAGTAATCCCTAAACTCCCTAGAAACAGTATTTAGAATTAATTTCTAGCTTTTACATTGTAAAACTCAAATATCCCTCAGGGTTCTTTCAGTCTTATCATTTGAGCATAGATTCCCCTCGTCCTATGTTTGCTCACAGAACTTAACATTTTAATCCTAAAACCAATCTAAATCTTAATTTAGGCTTGAGCCCTAATACTATTTAAACTTGTTATTGTTAAAACAAATAATACGAAAAGGAAAGATACCTCGAGTACTTTTCCTTGGACATCAAAAGTAATTAAAAACTGGATAAATAATCAGACAAACAGCTCATGTCGTCTTCACCATATGTCTATTGTATCCAAATTAAGCTTGCAAAAGCAATTTATTCTAATGTATCTAGGAATTCAAAACAGAACACAAATTGTAAACTTATGAGGTTTTAAACTTTTTAAGTTACTCATTTTTACAAACGCAATATCCGGGAGCAATTTTCTTTTTATTCCGCTATAGGCAGTTTTTTCAGATTAATAATTATAATCCCTTGCGGAATTAACGTACTATTAATTTTCAATTATTTTATAAACAGAAAACCCCGTTAATGAAAAAATGACGGGAAAATACGTAATAATTCTGACTTAACATTAACAGGGAAGTTTTCGTAATTTCTCGCATGGCATGTTTATATTTAATATTGTGAATTCAAATCATCTATAGGATTATCCACGAAGGATGAGACTCTAAAGAGGACTGTACGGAATTTATAGCGCACGCACCCCTGACCCTCCAGTAAAAGTAAATTCAACCTAAAGTCTGACCGCGTCAACCTTGTTGCACCGGCTGGTCCTATTGAGTGTCTGCTTTATTTACCCATTGTCCGGGCGATGCAGTACACACTGGGACCGGAAAGGTTGACCCGGCTCGGACATTTAAATGTACTACGGCTGCCCGTGAGCGTCTGTTTCCTTACATTCATGATACCCGGTTGAAAGGAAGATAAAAAGATGGAAACTAGGAATCTAGGAAGACATGAGGACATGAGGACATGAGGTCAGGAAGTTAGGAAGACAGGAAGACATAAAGACAGGAAGAGAAAGACAGGAAGACAGGAAGACAGAAAGACAGGAAGACAGAAAGACAGGAAAAGAAAGACAGGAAGACAGGAAGACAGGAAGACAGGAAGACAGGAAGACAGGAGGACAGGAAGACAGGAAGATAGGAAGACAGGAAGACAGGAAGACAGGAGGACAGGAAGACAGGAAGACATGAAGACATGAAGACATGAAGACAGGAAGACAGGAAGACAGGAAGACAGGAAGACAGGAAGACATGAAAACAGGAAGACAGGAAGACAGAAGAAAATGAAGATAAAGGTTTGTGGTTTTCTTGAGAACTTAATAAATATTAGATTACATTCTGGAGTAGGGTTATTTCTCTTCTTCTGTACTCTTCTCTTCTTTTATTTGAAGTAAGTGTTAAAATATCTTTTCTTTTTACTATTGTCAACAAATATACTTTAACCTTGTTCTTGGTCTATTCTTAATTTCCATTCAACTATTTTTATTATCAACAGAATTAACAGAATTCATTTTCTGATAACAGATTTTATAGAAATTGACCGATACTCAAATATTTTTTTAATGAAGCCGACGTGAAGTGAAGAAAATGTGTTAAATCCTATAACAGCAAGGATTGATGGTTTGATTTCTTCTAAGTTTGTGAGTTTGTGTCTCAAAACAAGTTTTTCTTCACAGCTCTCTCTTCTCCTAAAGTTAATCTGTCAAACTTTACTCAATGATACTTCAAACCTAGAACCTAGTTTCTATATAGTGTGTATCAAAACTATAGTTTCTATACAGTGTGTATCAAAACTATAGGTTCTATACAGTGTGTATCAAAACTATAGTTTCTATACAGTGTGTATCAAAACTATAGTTTCTATACAGTGTGTATCAAAACTATAGTTTCTATACATTGTGTATCAAAACTATAGTTACTATACAGTGTGTATCAAAACTATAGTTTCTATACAGTGTGTATCAAAACTATAGTTTATGTACAGTGTGTAAAAAACTATAGTTTCTATACAGTGT